GGGCCCCTGCATCACCCAGTGGAACCAGCCCAGGCAGGTGGCTGAAACCTGACTCAACTGGCACATTTGCATTTAAACACAACTATTTCCGGGCCTGGGGCAGCCTCTATTGTTTTCAGCCAGCTCTTTGTGAACACGTGGGTGCAGGTATACACTGGGAACTCCTGATTGAGTTCCAAACGGAGCAAGTACAGACAATGAGGGTGGCCCAGGCCAGGCCACACTGAAACAAGAGGGTCTTCTGTCCTCTAGATGTCAAGGGCTTGTCACAAGCCTGCCAGGCCTATCATAGAACTATGACCCTTGTTTAGAAATGCACTTGAATGTGACCTCACCATCTGTAACAAAGAGTCAGGCTCCATTTTAATCTGTGATCCTTGCTAGTGATGAGCCTTCCACTCATCCCTTCCCCACCCCACTCATTTGGTACTGAAGACGAAGAATCCCAGAGCACTTGGCTCTGGTGGCAAGTTTGAATCCCACAGCCCTAGCCTGAATGCAAGGGCCCTTCTCAGTCTAACCAGAGGGTGTGATATACAGCCATTAAAAGTCTTAGGTGTACATTTTACACTGAAAGGAAATTTATTTTAGATCAGTTTTTGCCCATTTCCCTAGGACCTTTCAAATGTTAATCACTATAATATACAGATCTAAGGCAACTGATTCCTACTTTCACTGATATAAGGAAAACAACAAATCAGTATGCAAATGTGGGATGGACCTGAAAACTCTTCCCCCGCACCCTAGCTTTATCAAGGTGTAACTGACTAATAAAACTGTCTATATTTAAAGATTACAATGTGATGATTTGATATACATATACAACTTGAATACCTGAAATTTGCTAAAACAAGGGATTAAGCCTTCTCACCACACAGACACACACACACACACACACACACACACACACACGTAAGTGCCTAGGATTAGAATTGATGGGTCAAATGGTATTTTTAGGTTTTATATTTGAGGAACTCCCAGACATTTTTCCACAGTGACTACAACATTTTATATTCTCACCACCCATGTATGAGAGTTCAAATTTATAAATATATCCTCAACAAAACTTGTTATTATCTTGTTTCTTGATATACTCATCCCAGTGGCTGTGAAGTGGTATCAGACTTGGGTTTTGATTTGCATTTCCTTGATGACTAACAATGTTCAGCATCTTTTCATATGCTCTTAATCATTTCTCTATCTTCCTTGAAAATAGTGCATTCAGATCTTTTGCCATATTTAAATTGAGTTATTTGACTTTTTTTTTTTTTTTTT